GTGGCATTTTCTTTGACTATGTCATTTTTTGAAGGAGAGTTTTTAAAATTAAAAAAAAAAAAAAAAAAAAAAAAAACCAAACTTAACCCAACCCAAAAAGAGAGGGTTGGGTTATGAAAATTTTTGAATTGGGTTGAGTTGTCACGCGTTCTTGTCGTTGGTCACTCCTTCTCATCTCTCGATCTCTCTTATTTAGACTTAAGTGCTAAGGAAATTTTTATTTAATAAAACTAAAATTGAGTGGATGATAAGTATTTTGATGGCATTTTTTACACTCTCCACAGACTGACTCTGCATCTCTCACGTATATGCTCTACACTCCATTAATTATAGCAGGTGACATTTTTTTTTTTTTTTACAAAAGGCAGTTATGTGGCATTGTTTTGTAAGGAGGTCGGTGACATTTTCTTTGATAGATGTTAGTTACATGGCATTTTTTAAGGAGAGTTTTCTAAATTTACAAAAGAAAATTGGAACAACCTTAACCCAACCCATGGATTCGGTTGGGTTGTGAAAATTTTTGAGTTGGGTTAGATTGTCACGCCTTTTCATCGTTGGTCTCTCCTTCTCATCTCTCGATCTCTCGTATTCAGACTAAAGTGGTAAGGAAATTTTGATGACATTTTTTTGTACTCTCCATGAATACCATCTCTTTCTCGTCATTGGTCTCTCCTTCTTGTCTCTTGATCTCTCGTATTCAGACTGAAGTGGTAAGGAAATTTTGAGTTAATAAACCTGTGGATGAAAAGTATTTTGATGGCATTATTTACACTTTCCACAAAATACTATCTCTGCATTCCTACAGTCTGTGCCCTGCACTCCATTAATTATGTTAGGTGGCATTTTTTTTTATAAAGGGCAGTTATGTAGCATTGTTTTTGACGAAAGTTGGGGTTATGTGGCATTTTTTTAAAGAGTTTTTTAAATTAATAGAAAAAAAAATTGGACCAACTTAACTCAACCCTCCAAGGATTGAGTTGGGTTGGGTTGTGAAAATTTTTGGGTTGAGTTGGTTGTCACTCCTCCTCGTAGTTGGTCTCTCCTTCTCATCTCTCGATCTCTTGGATTCAGACTGAAGTGGTAAGAAAATTTTGATTTAATAAAATTGAAACCTCTTGGATTCAGACTGAAGTGGTAAGAAAATTTTGATTTAATAAAATTGAAACGCGGTGGATGAGGCAAGTATTTTGATGGCATTTTTTGCACTCTCCACGAATACCATCTCTTTCTCATTGTTGGTCTCTCCTTCTCGTCTCTCTTAGATTTTAAACGGAAGTGGTAAGAAAATTTTGATTTAATAAAACTGAAATACTATTTCTACATCTCTTGAGTACGTGTTCTCCACTCCATTAATTATGGCCAGAAGGGTGGTTTTTTTTTTTTTCAAAGTGCAGTTATGTGGCATTGTTTTTTGTTATGAAAGTTGGTTATGAGGCATTTTCTTTGACCGAGGTTAGTTATATGACATTTTTTTAAGGAGAGTTTTTTAAATTAAAAAAGGAAATTTGTAACAACCTTAACCCAACCCAAAAATAGAGGGCTCGATTGGGTTTTGAAAATTTTTGGGTTGGGTTGTCTAGCCTTCTTGGTCTCTTCTTCTCATCTCTCGTATTCAGATCTCTTCTTCTCATGGTCTCTTCTTCTCATCTCTTGATCTCACTGATTCAGACTGAAGTGGTAAGGAAATTTTGATTTAATAAAATGAGGAGGCAAGTATTTTGATGACATTTTTTACACTCTCCACAGAATACTATTTTTACACTCTCCACTGAATACTATCTCTGCATCTCTCCCGTCTGCTCTAAGCTCCCTTAATTATGGCATGTGGCATTATTATTATTATTATTATTATTATTATTATTATTATTTTTTTTTTTTTTTTTG